CTCTAAGCAAGGCACTATAAATAATAATACTTAAGAATACAAGACAAGAACGTGCCAAACAATAAACTACTGAATCATCAGAACCAACACACAACCAGATAACGGTGACTATCAGCCAGTATTTACTCTCAGTTAGTAATTAAGTATGATCTCTCACTAATGTGTAATTGCGTGAGTCCGATTTCCGCTCGTGATAACCTAGCGAATATATTAAACACTAGCTTCCGCCCGCGGCTTCGACCGCGTGGTATGTTGATAAAAAGTAGCCTATGTCCTATTCCGGAATGTATTCTTATGCCCATGTCAAATTTCATCCAAATCCAGCCGTGGTTGGGTAACAAACATCAAACATCGTAACTTTCGTATTTATAATAAAGTTAGATGTCAACCGTGTAAGGGGTGTTTATTATCCTTGTTCAGCAAGGAGTTATTGAATAAGGTGCACTTTTCTTCATCGTCTTTGTTTGAACGCGCTACCCTCCGGGATTAATGGTTCGATTTGAACAATTAAGTATTTTTGTCGAAGGAAGGTTATAGGCTATAAAACATCACACTACGATCTGTAAAAGCCTAGCAGCGGATGAAACAGCGCCAGAGTAGGTAGTACTATATAACTTTAAAGATTAATGGTATGCATAAGTCATAATAAAATACATTTAGTAAAATGTATTTTACTAAATCACCTTGTATTAATTTACCGATGAAACAACACGTCAAATCATCAGCATGTAAGTACCTACTGCTGAGCAAAGGCCTCTTCTCACACGGAGAAGGTTCGAGCTTAAATCACCATGCTCAATGCGGGTTGGCGATTTCAAACGTATGATTAGAAATTATAAGTCCAGGTTTCCTCACAATGTGCCTCACAAAATGCCTGGCAGCATGTTGGTTCGGCTCCACTGGACAATTCTCAAATATGTAGTCAGTAGTTACCAAAATTCTCAAAATTAATGAAACCTTGAATGAGTTTATATAGAAGCATTCTTTTGGATTGTGAGTACGCATATGTGAGCGCCATGTACGAAACAACAAAGGATTAAAATTTTAATGATAGATTAAATAGACCATCATTTGTTCCTTTTTATTAACAACTTGTCTCTGCATTGTTCTCACATAGGGGTACAGTAATGTATAAAAAATGTATTATTGATGAATTGTAAAACAAATATTTTTTTTAAAAGAGTAACGATGGAGTTTCTTGCTCGTTCTTCTCCATTCGAAACTACAATTTGGAACGAGCACCTAGCTTCACTGACGAACAGACTGACAGACTACTATTCTATTTTGACGTTTCAAAAGTACCTATTTATGGTTTATTTGGAATAAATGATTTTGATTTGATTGATTTGATGTGTTCCTTCAACACCATCTTAGACACCACGTCTAAAATAATCATAGACAGTACGTATAACTCGGAAAAAGTCACATTGATACTTGCCAGGCTTGCACACTCATGTATGATAAGTTGAAAATTAAATGAAACGACATTTGAGTAAAATAAAACATCAAACATTTATATAAAACCCACTTTATTTCTCATCTCCCTCCCTGAATAACCTCCATAACGTACATCTATCATATTTACAATATACACACTAAATTACCGAAATAAATACAAATATAATGTCCTTAACAATTTCGATATGTTTATACTTACAAATAAAAATAATCATTTCCAAAAACTTAAGAAAACAGCCATGATTCATAATCTCACAAAAAATATAAAAAAAGATTAATTATTTTTCTATAAGACCCTAGTTTTATCTCTGGGAAAGACTTTTTTGAAGTAATTATGTACACATGAAAACAGTATTTTAAATCGGAATTTGTAGATCGTTATAAGTGAAAGGGATGAGCTTCCTTTAAAATTTTATTTATTTATAAACACCAGACATAGTTAAAAATAAAAAAAAAACTTAGACCCTTCCCTCACACGTACACAATACTTCAAAAAAGGCCAAACCAAATAACAAAGAACTTAAAAAACTAATATTAAAAACCTAATTCCAAAAAACTGGTGTTTTGTTATTGTTTAAATTTTAAAATAATTATAAACAGCTCGACATCGAGAAACACATAAACAATCTACAATGACAGCGTAAAATTTCGTCATCCATTCTAATTAATTGATTACATGGATCAAGTTTATATTTTTAATTAATTATATATTTTTTTTCTGATGCAAACTTTAGTAAATACGGCGTAATTATTAAAACATTTTACATAATTATTTAGGTTAATAATTATATACAAGTGATAGTACATTCTCTTAGTAATAATAACTTTGTTTATTTCTTAAAAATCTCAGTGAAGGAATGTAAGTTAGCTTTTGTAATCTCAAGCCCGTTTCTCTTACGGTCAAAATGAACTCATCACAATAACTTTTATTTAAAAATGTCTGGCTCATCCTAATATTTTTCAGCCGGGGTTGTGGAGCTAGAGCAATAAGGTACCGCAGCCTCGGCCTAAAGCAGGAGAAGGAACGGGGGAGTTTTCAGTCAGTAAGTCTGACATTCAACCTGGGCAAAAGAAATCATTTGATAATTTCACCCTCCCAAAAAACTAATATTTTCTTTTGTGTTGTAGGTATGTTTGCTTAATATTGATGGTCAGTGCGCCATTCGTGTAGACGACCAGTGCCAAGGTTTTTGAAAGACATTTTATAGAACCACTATCATAAGTCAATCTAAAATTTTGTACCTATATTTAGATGGAATATTAATCACATATCACACATCACATTAATATAAATCTCAAAGTAAATAAGACTATAGTAAAATCTTAAAGAAACTGTATTCTCTCGATGTCGAACATTTTAAATTTCAAAAAAATATACATTTATATTTTTCTAAACCAATGTTAAAACTTACAATTTTTGAGCTCAAAAATAACAATCGTTAGAACAGGATTTACTTTTTAAACTGAGTGAATACATAATATACAAGGAAAATATTTACTATAACCTCCAATGACAACAAAATCATTACCAATAACTCATTTTTGATTTAATAACGTGCAAAAAATGGTCATATTTGAAAAGGTCGATGCACTTTTGTTTATTTTTAATACCAGATTGGGTATGCATATCCATATTTCTTAGGCTTGTTATATAATTATCTTTTGCATCAAACTTCTTAAAATATGATCACGCTTTAAAATGGTTTGCAGACTAAAATCCCAAACTAAAAAGTATATTTTGGCTTGCGATCTATAATGACCAAAATATGTCTTTCAAGTTATGATTTATTCCTAGATAATTACTGTTACCAAACTTAATTAGGTTGGGCCTTAGTTTGCTAAAACTCAATAAAAATATATTGTTTTCACATAAAACATACCATAAGGTACACATAAAAAACTTGAATTTTGGTTATATACAAAAATATTGGGTAATTATAATATTTAACCTAAAACATTCGGTTCCCGATTTCCCGCCATACTTTTGACAGCTGTCAAAAATTTTCAAGATGGCTGAATGCAGAATTATCACAATGAATGTTCTAAGCTATGAAATAACGTTCAAAATCACTTATGCGGTATAAGAGAATAATTTTCATGCGATATTTTATATCTAATGCTGGGTTTCTTAGGGTCTATTTTGCAGTAGCTACCGTTTTTTATTGGGGTTCATGCAGAATGGAATAATTCTAAAACTACAAGTTTTCATAAGAATTTTGTGAAACATTGGGCCCGAAGAAAATCTAGCATCATTTCGATTTCTACTAAAAGTGCAGAAAACGTAGAAATAAGGTGTTCTTAAACTATTGAAGTGTCATTATGCTATTTTAAACTTTACGTGGTCTGCGTTTGGTCGATAATACTTAGTTACTAGACAGCTACGTTAGGTTTTTATTAGAAACTAATCTACTTAGATTGAAGATTTAAGACTTGAATTATGGACTTTCAAAATATCGCTTAATCAATGATAGGATATACAGGGTGTAGACACGACGTTAGTTTTGTAATTAGGTGGTATAGTACAAGCCTTTTATTCAAAGATGGTAAATAGAATGTATGTTGCTATATTTGGAGGAATCTAAATTCTTTAGTCTCTTTGTTTCGGCAAACGATATTAAAATATTATTTTGTGCAATTCTGTTTTTTTATCAAGGAAAGATTATCACTCCATATCTTTCCCCTCTCTGAGTGTTTCCAAATGGAGCGTCAGAGCCTTACTGACTAAAAACTGCCCCAATCATTCTCCTGCTCTAGGCCAGAGGCAAATTCTAGTTGCAGTTACATTTAAAAATAAAATGTTTTGTATTAACAAAATTATTATTATTGCCTATGATATTCACCACCAATGAAAGACCAGAAAAGCCCCTGTATATCCTACATAGATTTTCCACTAACAAGCTATAAGTAGATTTTCTACAATGGTTCTTCCACTAGCAAATATTCAGATAAAAAACATGAATGACATAGTAAACTGTAACTTATACTATTGGCATAGAATTTAAAACGAAATGCACGTAGCATAGACGTATTGGTCAAGATCCAGTTATTAATAATTTATTAAGAAGTTATTTGGAAATGGATTTATAAGAAGAGACCATATCTTCTCAAAAGATGGCGCTAATGAAGTGCAAGATCTGTTTACTGATGCAGGTCTGTCACGGTTTCAAACTTTCTAATTCTCTATAAGAGAATACAGACCTCGAGCTGCTTTGAAGCGCCATCTGTTGAGGGAAACTATAGCCCCATTATACTATGTTAATAATTTCTCTTTCATTGTTATTTATCTAGCGACCTAGCCTTTGAACTGTTAGGTAAATATACAGTTAAAACCTCCTTATGAAGATCTGTTCAGTAGTTTAGGAGTTTTATCACTTTAGAGAAACCCGACAGACGGATATGGAGTCATTTTTATAACAGTACTTACTTATTGACAACCTTTACTCTACTCAAAGAGAAATACACCTTATACTCATCACAATAAAGTTGATATTTTAATACCAAACCGCTTTTTTTCCTTTTTTACCATTCAATCATTGAAATTTCAATCTTATGGTAACAATCTTTAAAGTAACATATCGGAAATGTTGTTATAGCATGTAAATACATAACCCCACCTTTAGACGCAGTTGGGTAAACAAAAACCTTTTCTCACAAGAGTCTTTTTAAATACTATTTTTTTAATAATAATAATTACCATTAGCTATTGTGTCAGTGTTCCTGTTGCTGGGCTTCGGGCGTGGGGTTGGTGGTGGGGGGCGCGATGGAGGGGAGCGCGGTGGTCACGTGGGTGTCCTTGTCTAGTGGCCTGTACGACCAGTTCCCACATCCGTCGAATTCAAGTACATGGGTGTGATATTTCCTGTAAAAGAGAGTGTTTGTTATTACATTTTGATTTATCAAAGACGAATTAAGCTTAATTGATCAAACAAAGCTTCATTGACTGCAAGGTTGGCGCGTTGGCTGGACAACTAGGCGCCGCGCAACGTGTCGCGTAATCGATTCCCGCACGGAACAACTCTTTGTGTGACCCACAGATTGTTGTTCCGGGTCTGAGTGTGATATGTATGTGAAATTGTATGTTTGACGTACCAACGACACAGGAGAAAATCTTAACGGGGGCCAAAGTTTATTTAAAAAAAAAACTTTCGAACTTCCCAGGAAGGACAATATTTTTTTAAGACATTGCTTCGCTCTGACATTTTCTACAAACATACTATTTCACATAGACATTTAAACTACCTAGTACCAAGTTTTACTACATAGTTTAAAGTAAAACTTAAATAAATATTTAGCCCATGAAAAATCCTGTTCACAGGGTTATGTGTATAGGACTTAAGTCGTTTTTCGCCATTTTTTGTAAGTGAAACATTAAACTTATATACGAGGTACGTTTAAATTAAAAAGGGTAGGCGTTAATGACCTTTATCGATCAACTATCACATGGAAAAACCTAAACAGGCTGCTGTGCAACGTTTTGCTAGTTCGATTCCCTCAGAGAAAAACTCTGTGTGTGATCCACAAATTGTTGTTCCGGGTCTGGGGGTCTATGTTTGTAAACGCACCAACGACATAGAAAAAAACACCTAACTTTGGGCAAAGTTTTTTAAAAACGAAAACTAAAAACTTAATGGCAGTAGTATTAAAGGTGAACTTACCAGACGCTCGGTCTGTGAGTGATGGAAAGAAGAGTGATTCCCTCTTTGACGGCCTCCTCATACATCACGACCTCCGTCTCCATGGAGACAGCACTCGTGCACTCGTCCAGTAACGCGTAGACAGGCCTGAAATAAATTAAATGGTCAGTTATGTGAGATTATTATATACTGGGAGATTATTAAAATAAGGACAAAGACAATGCAGTAGTTTCCAACTAGTCAACAATATATTTATCTTAAATGTCAAAAACGATAGTTTTCTATGAGATTCGTGTCAAACTTCAAAAATAGTTTACTTCTTTGCTAAAATTAAGCTTTTTTTTATTAAAGATCTATTAGTTTTCCATATTTAATTGCATTGAAATGTCGAATTTAATAAAACCATAAAAGTCTCTCTCTAAAAAGAGTAACCATGGAGTTTCTTGCTCGTTCTTTTCCATAGGAAACTACACTTTGGAACGAGCAAATAGCTTCACTATAATCAGAATTTTAATTCGATTCCTAATTTGACATGACCTACTGTCATTTTGTGAAATAATGATACCACATATAACAATGTAGTGATGACCACAAAAATCTATATACAATCAGTGAATCAGTTTTCGGAAGGCATTCAAACAATTACGGCTACCAAATGGTCTAAATGCGTATTCCATGTTGTCAAAGAAGAGAAAAAAATGAGAAAGCTAGATATGTTAATTGATAATAAATATAACAGACAATTCATAATAAATGTTACAGAAAGAAACAGCGATAGTGATAGCGATGACGACGACAATTTATAAAATGTCTGTTTTATTTGTCATGTTCCTTCATGATCACATTTTTTATTAATTTCACACACAATTACAAAAGAAAAGTCTCAGATCGTTAATTAATTATCAAAACTAAATTATCGGTTCATAATTATTTTATTTCCTGATAAACTTAGTTTACGAGAGTAAATTTATAAACGAGAGGAATCGATTCAGAAATATTCGATTTCCATATCGAATAATTTCGCAACGTCACTATTTAAAATGTGTCAAAACGTTGCAACATTGAAATTGTCAAATCTGGAATGGAATTAAAATTCCGAGTATAGAGGACAGACGGACAGACTGACACATATAAAGTTAACCTTTTGATATCTTTTTTGCTTGACGTTCAAAAGTGCCTTTTGTGGTCTAATTGAAATAAAGAATTTGATTTTTTTTTTAAATACACCTTTATTCATTACTTTAACGATATACTTATTAGGTATTCGTATTTGTTTAAGATAGTTAAAAAGAAATAAGAATGCGATTTCACGCTAAAGAATTTGACGTGACAATGCTATTTAGTAAAAAAAAAACAAAGAAAGTTAAGAGTGTTGTATCTGACTAGTGGGAAACTAACTCTATTAAACACAAATTAATCAGTCACGAGTGGGAGAGCCACGCTTAGGCAAGAATTAGCCGATTTGACAGACCTTATAGAATACCGGCGTGAAACAACTTGCGTTGTTCTTCATTGTGTCGGTAAGTTTTTATCGCAGGTGCAAATCTTTTCCTTCTTACTTAATCACCAAATCTGGAATCCTCCAAACCCTAAAAACCTAGAGAAGGCTGGCAACGCATCTATCAATTTCGGGTATCCACTGTCGGCGGCGCTGGTTGCTTCTAGTAGGTGATCTTTCTGCTTGTTCACATTCATAAGCAGAATACGATGCGAAAAGTTCTGTTGTAACTAGTAGACGTTCACATGTGTAAGTCGTTATTTTGTCTGCAATAGAGTCGTGGGAGAGGTACCTGTGGTAGAACATGCGCGCCATGGCCATGCGCTGCTTCTCCCCGCCAGAGAGCGTGGCGCGCCAGTCGCGGACGGCGCCGAGCCCGCCGTGTCGCGCGGCGCAGGCGTCGAGGCGCACGAGGCGCAGGATGTGCGCGGCGCGGCGCCAGGCGGCGTTGTCGTCGGGCTGCGCGCGCGACGGGTACGTCACCTGGTCGATCAGCGAGCCTTGCGACATGTACGGCCTGCGGACCGAAACGTATGGCGATAGGTCAGCTGACATTAATACGACTGTTAAATACTGAAGTGTCGTGTGGTGTAGTATTTTAGTAATTTAGAGTTAGTATTTTAGTTAGTGTAGTAATTTAGAGTAGCGAAGTATCGTGCCTGTCGTGTAGTGTATACTAGTAGAAAGTAGTAAAGTGTCTGTCGTATAGTCTATAGTAATTTAGAGTAACGATGTATCGTGCCTGTCGTGTAGTGTATACTAGTAGAAAGTAGTAAAGTGTCTGTCGTATAGTCTATAGTAATTTAGAGTAACGATGTATCGTGCCTGTCGTGTAGTGTATACTAGTAGAAAGTAGTAAAGTGTCTGTCGTATAGTCTATAGTAATTTAGAGTAATGATGTATCGTGCCTGTCGTGTAGTGTATAGTAGTATAAAGTACTAAAGTGTCGTGTCGTGTGGTGTCATGCAGTTGTGTAGTAAAGGCATGGAAGTCACAGATCGGTATAATGGCTTGTAGTGAAATAATCATTAAATGCCATGCAGCGCAATATTGCGTGGAGAAACAAAATGTATTCAAGAGTTATGTAGCGTAATGTAATGTAGCATAGTGTCTTATAACCTAGACTAATGAATTTCGTATTGTATAGTGTAATTTTATATTAATCAAATATAGTTTGTATGTATATCTCTCGTACACAGAAGTATACACATTATTATTATAAGGCCTTACCTCTGCGGTATATAGAACATGATGGGCCTGGAGGTACAGAAGCCGGTGTCGGGCTGGCTGCAGTCGTCCGAGCAGTGTGCGCAGGCGCAGGGACGTGGGACATGGAGCTCCCCGCCAAACACTGGCCATAGACCAGAGATTATGCGGAACAAACTGACGGGGGAAATAATGATATGTCAATAAATATATTACAAGAAAAAAAAGTTTTTATGGAAAAGTAGGCAAACAGTAATGGTACGTGATCGGCGCCGAAGAAGCAAGCAGAAGAGTCACAGGCACGTTGCCAGCATACATTTGTTGCCAACGCGACTTCAGCGTTCAGCAAACGTTAATGCTTACCACGCGAAGACGCGGCGCTAACATCGCGTCAGCGCGGCGTCAAGGCTAAGCAAACGTTGACATCAACGCTAGTGAGATATCGGCCTTATAGAAGTTTTTTTTATTTTAGAAGTTATATTGTACCTGGACTTCCCGCATCCGTTGGGCCCCACGATGAGTAGATGTGTTCCGGGCGCGATGTCCAGCGAGACCCCGGCCGCCACCACGTCGCACGCCGGGGTCACTATTGGCACGTTGCGCAACTTGATAGACAGGTCCGATGTGTATACTATTTTACCTGGGGATGGAAACAAAAATATGTAAAGAATATCCTACTAATGTTATAAATATAAAATACACAAACTATCACATATGTAAGTGTGGGAGAGCCAAGCTTCGGCACGAATGGTCGGCTCGATAGCAGTGATACCACGTTCTCACAGAAAACCGGCGAGAAACAACTACAGTGATGTGTTTCGCCGTGTGAGCGAGGTTACCGGAGGCAAGATCCCTCCTCAATCCCTAATTATCCAAACCCCCGAATCCCCAAAAGGTCAGCAACGCACTCTGCGTCTATTTACCACTTTCACCGTAATGGAAAAGTGGCAAAAATGAAAAATTAACTCGTCCGATGTGATACCACGGCCTCACAGACAATTGGCTTGAAACAACCACAGCGTTGTTTTGCCGTGTGAAGGAGGTTAAAGGAGGACCAATATTTCCCTTCCCCCAATCTCTAAATCTCCAAATCCCTAATCCCCAGAAGGTCGGCAACGCATCGCAACACCTTTATGCTATCACATAAAGCAAGTAACAGTAATGGGGTAAGTACCGTCCGCGTGCGCCACCTCGCGGAACTATATCGGCACGGGCTATACGTACCCTCGGGCACGGGCGCGTTGTCCCGCAGCGTGACGCGGAAGGCGGCGTGCGCCACCTCGCGGAACTATATCGGCACGGGCTATACGTACCCTCGGGCACGGGCGCGTTGTCCCGCAGCGTGACGCGGAAGGCGGCGTGCGCCACCTCGCGGAACTATATCGGCACGGGCTATACGTACCCTCGGGCACGGGCGCGTTGTCCCGCAGCGTGACGCGGAAGGCGGCGTGCGCCACCTCGCGGAACTATATCGGCACGGGCTATACGTACCCTCGGGCACGGGCGCGTTGTCCCGCAGCGTGACGCGGAAGGCGGCGTGCGCCACCTCGCGGAACTATATCGGCACGGGCTATACGTACCCTCGGGCACGGGCGCGTTGTCCCGCAGCGTGACGCGGAAGGCGGCGTGCGCCACCTCGCGGAACTATATCGGCACGGGCTATACGTACCCTCGGGCACGGGCGCGTTGTCCCGCAGCGTGACGCGGAAGGCGGCGTGCGCCACCTCGCGGAACTATATCGGCACGGGCTATACGTACCCTCGGGCACGGGCGCGTTGTCCCGCAGCGTGACGCGGAAGGCGGCGTGCGCCACCTCGCGGAACTATATCGGCACGGGCTATACGTACCCTCGGGCACGGGCGCGTTGTCCCGCAGCGTGACGCGGAAGGCGGCGTGCGCCACCTCGCGGAACTATATCGGCACGGGCTATACGTACCCTCGGGCACGGGCGCGTTGTCCCGCAGCGTGACGCGGAAGGCGGCGTGCGCCACCTCGCGGAACTATATCGGCACGGGCTATACGTACCCTCGGGCACGGGCGCGTTGTCCCGCAGCGTGACGCGGAAGGCGGCGTGCGCCACCTCGCGGAACTATATCGGCACGGGCTATACGTACCCTCGGGCACGGGCGCGTTGTCCCGCAGCGTGACGCGGAAGGCGGCGTGCGCCACCTCGCGGAACTATATCGGCACGGGCTATACGTACCCTCGGGCACGGGCGCGTTGTCCCGCAGCGTGACGCGGAAGGCGGCGTGCGCCACCTCGCGGAACTATATCGGCACGGGCTATACGTACCCTCGGGCACGGGCGCGTTGTCCCGCAGCGTGACGCGGAAGGCGGCGTGCGCCACCTCGCGGAACTATATCGGCACGGGCTATACGTACCCTCGGGCACGGGCGCGTTGTCCCGCAGCGTGACGCGGAAGGCGGCGTGCGCCACCTCGCGGAACTATATCGGCACGGGCTATACGTACCCTCGGGCACGGGCGCGTTGTCCCGCAGCGTGACGCGGAAGGCGGCGTGCGCCACCTCGCGGAACTATATCGGCACGGGCTATACGTACCCTCGGGCACGGGCGCGTTGTCCCGCAGCGTGACGCGGAAGGCGGCGTGCGCCACCTCGCGGAACTATATCGGCACGGGCTATACGTACCCTCGGGCACGGGCGCGTTGTCCCGCAGCGTGACGCGGAAGGCGGCGTGCGCCACCTCGCGGAACTATATCGGCACGGGCTATACGTACCCTCGGGCACGGGCGCGTTGTCCCGCAGCGTGACGCGGAAGGCGGCGTGCGCCACCTCGCGGAACTATATCGGCACGGGCTATACGTACCCTCGGGCACGGGCGCGTTGTCCCGCAGCGTGACGCGGAAGGCGGCGTGCGCCACCTCGCGGAACTATATCGGCACGGGCTATACGTACCCTCGGGCACGGGCGCGTTGTCCCGCAGCGTGACGCGGAAGGCGGCGTGCGCCACCTCGCGGAACTATATCGGCACGGGCTATACGTACCCTCGGGCACGGGCGCGTTGTCCCGCAGCGTGACGCGGAAGGCGGCGTGCGCCACCTCGCGGAACTATATCGGCACGGGCTATACGTACCCTCGGGCACGGGCGCGTTGTCCCGCAGCGTGACGCGGAAGGCGGCGTGCGCCACCTCGCGGAACTATATCGGCACGGGCTATACGTACCCTCGGGCACGGGCGCGTTGTCCCGCAGCGTGACGCGGAAGGCGGCGTGCGCCACCTCGCGGAACTATATCGGCACGGGCTATACGTACCCTCGGGCACGGGCGCGTTGTCCCGCAGCGTGACGCGGAAGGCGGCGTGCGCCACCTCGCGGAACTATATCGGCACGGGCTATACGTACCCTCGGGCACGGGCGCGTTGTCCCGCAGCGTGACGCGGAAGGCGGCGTGCGCCACCTCGCGGAACTATATCGGCACGGGCTATACGTACCCTCGGGCACGGGCGCGTTGTCCCGCAGCGTGACGCGGAAGGCGGCGTGCGCCACCTCGCGGAACTATATCGGCACGGGCTATACGTACCCTCGGGCACGGGCGCGTTGTCCCGCAGCGTGACGCGGAAGGCGGCGTGCGCCACCTCGCGGAACTATATCGGCACGGGCTATACGTACCCTCGGGCACGGGCGCGTTGTCCCGCAGCGTGACGCGGAAGGCGGCGTGCGCCACCTCGCGGAACTATATCGGCACGGGCTATACGTACCCTCGGGCACGGGCGCGTTGTCCCGCAGCGTGACGCGGAAGGCGGCGTGCGCCACCTCGCGGAACTATATCGGCACGGGCTATACGTACCCTCGGGCACGGGCGCGTTGTCCCGCAGCGTGACGCGGAAGGCGGCGTGCGCCACCTCGCGGAACTATATCGGCACGGGCTATACGTACCCTCGGGCACGGGCGCGTTGTCCCGCAGCGTGACGCGGAAGGCGGCGTGCGCCACCTCGCGGAACTATATCGGCACGGGCTATACGTACCCTCGGGCACGGGCGCGTTGTCCCGCAGCGTGACGCGGAAGGCGGCGTGCGCCACCTCGCGGAACTATATCGGCACGGGCTATACGTACCCTCGGGCACGGGCGCGTTGTCCCGCAGCGTGACGCGGAAGGCGGCGTGCGCCACCTCGCGGAACTATATCGGCACGGGCTATACGTACCCTCGGGCACGGGCGCGTTGTCCCGCAGCGTGACGCGGAAGGCGGCGTGCGCCACCTCGCGGAACTATATCGGCACGGGCTATACGTACCCTCGGGCACGGGCGCGTTGTCCCGCAGCGTGACGCGGAAGGCGGCGTGCGCCACCTCGCGGAACTATATCGGCACGGGCTATACGTACCCTCGGGCACGGGCGCGTTGTCCCGCAGCGTGACGCGGAAGGCGGCGTGCGCCACCTCGCGGAACTATATCGGCACGGGCTATACGTACCCTCGGGCACGGGCGCGTTGTCCCGCAGCGTGACGCGGAAGGCGGCGTGCGGCGCGACGTGCACTGCGCGCACGCAGCGGCCGCGCGCCACCTCGCGGAACACGACCAGCATGTCCGACACGCGCGTCGCGTACCCCGCCAGCGTCACTATCTCCTGCGAACACACAAACACATACATTTGCTATGTATTCTTTCACTAATCCAATATAAAGATAAAGTCGTCAAAAGTTCAATTACACCCTTACAGGCACTTTTAAACAGTCAGCAATAAATTTATTAAAACGATACATTCTCTGAATTTTCAAAACGATATATATAACAATAATCAACGACGATAACTGACAGTGATCGAAAGTCCCCGAAAGTCATCAAAAGTTACCGACAGTCACCGAAAGGCATCGGCAGACACCCAAAGTCATCGACAGTCACTGACAGTCACTGACAGTCACCGAAAGTCATCGACAGTCACTGAAAGTCATCGATAGTCACTGAAAGTCATCGATAGTCACCGAAAGACACCGAAAGTCATCGATAGTCACCGAAAGACACCGAAAGTCATCGATAGTCACCGAAAGTCATCGACAGTCACCGAAAGACATCGACAGTTACTGACAGTCACTGAAAGTCATCGACAGTCACTGAAAGTCATCGATAGTCACTGAAAGTCATCGATAGTCACCGAAAGACACCGAAAGTCATCGATAGTCACCGAAAGTCATTTTACAGTTACCGAAAGTCATCGACAGTCACTGACAGTCACCGAAAGTCATCGAGTCACCGAAAGTCATCGATAGTCACCGAAAGTCATCGAAAGTCGCCGAAAATCACCGAGAGTCTTCGACAGTCACCCATTAAATACAAAAACATTACCTTATAACTGGACATGAGCCTCTCGATAGCGTCAGCGGCCGAGTTGAGTAGATTCCTAGATGTTGTCATGTACTCCGCGCGGTCACTTATACTGCTTCCTGGAAACAATAAAATTAGGTTTAAAACCGTTCATATATTTAAGACACAATAGAAATTACATTGTGTCAGAATTAGAACTGTTTTTATTTTATTGTTGCCTGTATGTATTAGCTTAGATTAAGGTTAGCTTTTGCGATTGTTTTTATTAATAATAATAAAATATAGCTGATGCTAAAATATAGCTCTAATAAAATTAATATAACTTCACTTAGAAGTCTTTCTAGTATATGTGCGGAATCTGTGTATTTTATAGAATTTTAGATTTTAGAGAAATAAATGAAGCGCGACTCCTAATTTTGAGTCAAAACAAGATTATGATCCTCTTTAGGCTAGCCGGGGTTGTAGGTCAATCACAATAAGGTACCGCAGCCTCGGCATAAAGCAGGAGAAGGATCGGGGGGTTTTTAGTCAGTAAGAGTCTGACACTCCCTGAGCGAAAGAAGTCATTTGATGACTGATGACTTTCCCTTCACAAAAAAGGCTCATAAAATACTCGACCAACAAAATCGAAACTAAACCAAAAAAAATAATAGAAAGAAAGTAAAAATCCGTACTAACCGTCTCTCTGTGAATGCGAAGCTGTAAGAATGGGCAACGCCAGCATCACCATACCAGTGCCCGACCAGACGTACTTCATGCAGAACTGCTCCAGCATCACGTACCAGAGCTTCTTGTTGAATACTGACGTCATCTGCGCTACTAGCTCTTTGTAGGCAGCTTGGAGCTGACCTAGTTCCACCTGGAGAAGGAAGAGGAGATATTATGAATTGAGCTCCAAAAAAACAATTGTAAAAATGGTGTGAGGTCTTAGGATAGATCGTCGCTGTAGCTAAAATAGAACAAATGTCAATTTGTAATTTTATTCTATCTAGCTACTCGTAGTTCCTACAGATTGCAGCGTGATTCAACAACAATAAAAAGATTTTTTTCTGTTAGAGCTTTCAACCAAACAAACAAACTACATTTTTTTGTTATGTAATAAGTCGGCAAACGAGCAGACGGATTACCTGATGGTAAGCAATCAACGCCGCCCATGGACACCCGTAACGGAGGAGTTACGAGAGCGTTGCCGACCTTTTAGGTATTAGGGATTTGGAAATTTAGGGATTGGGGAAGGGGAAGGATTGGGCCTCCGGTAACCTCACTCACACGGCGAAACACAACGCAACACATTTTTTTATTAGTAAATTGCTATCTCAATGTTTTAGTTGGATGGCCATTTTGAGGCCTAGGCCAAACCTAGGCAAACGCCGCCACGCTGATCTTTCGTCAGTGGGCAAATTCAAAACATTACTATGTTAATGACACATTCGTATAATAAGTATTATCATTTAATAACTCGTTTACGGAAAATTTTAAGATTCTTAAAAGTAGGAAATGACCCATGATCCGTTCCCAGCTGTGAGCGTGAATCTGGATATGCCTCAAAGAGCTGGCTCCTTACCTTATGTCCACCGTAGAAGGCGACCTCCTCGGCGTGGGCAATAAGCCTCGCGTGGACGTGCCTCAAGTTGGCCTTCATTCGCGCCTCTTCGCCGGCTAGGGCACCGAACTTCGGACTCAACATTCGCAAGAGCTGGCCCGTCATGCATATTACTACTGTAGCTATGCTGGGACCTGGAAAATTGAATATTTATATATAACTAGCTACTCTCGCGCGATTTCACCCGCTGCTCGGCTCCATTTAATAGTAGCGTGATGTTTTATAGCATATAGCACTCAGGAACATTGTAGCTATCTATCAGTGAAAGAATTTTGTAAATCCGACCAGCGGTTCCAAAGATTACCCCCTACATACAAACTTACAAATTTTACTTTCTTAACATTTCTTTATAATATTAGTATAGATAAACAATATTTATTTTAGTGGTTATATAAACGCTTCCTTATCTTCATAATCATCACCAGCCTACAAATGCCAAGCTCCTCTTTTCACACGGCGAAAATTTGAGCATTAACCACCACGCTTGCTCAACGCGGATTGGCGATTTTAAACTTATAATAAAAAAATATAAGCTCTGGTTTCGTCACGGAGTTTCCCAGTCCCTAAATCTCCGAAACTCTCACCCCAAAGGGCCGGTAACGCAGTCTAACTCCTCCCGTTGCTGCCATGGTAGGGTGTCCATGGGCAGTGACGATTGCTTACCATGAGGTCAAAATGATGGATGGAATTTTTTTCAAGGAAAAAAATTCCCATCAATGTTATCTCCAATTACTGGTGGGCCTTGAACCACACACAATAGCACATAATTAATGTTATATATACACTATCCTGGCTTCCCCTTTATCAGAAGAGGCAAGAATCCTATATGTATAAACTGCCATTTTTTTATTTTGTATTGAAGTTGATATGTAATTTATACATCTTTTGTAATTTTAGTTAGTAACTATTTTTGTTGATGGTACAATCGCTCAGCGATAAAGTCCTTAAAATTGACAATAAAAAAATGGCTCTAATACCCACCAATGAATATATTGCCCTTCATCTTGTTGGAGTAGGTGGCGAGGGTAAGGACAATGAGGAGCAGGTCGAAGCAGGGCTTCGTCAGAGAGCTGTATAAGTGTGCCACTGATTGCGTGAACACTGAAACGTCTTCTGTCAATCTGGAATACAAATTAAAAATACAGTTTAGTACATACTGCATTTTCGATAAGATTCAAAATACAGTATATAATAAGTACACACAGAACATACAAGGGTAGAGTAGGGTACATAAGTAAGGTAGGTAGAGTATGGCAAGTAGTGTAGAGTACATAAAGTAGGGTAGGTAGAGTAGGAAAGGTATAGTAGGTAAAGTGGGGCAGGTAGAGTAGGGTCGGTAGAGTAGATTAGGGTAGGTGGAGTATGCTAGGTAGAGTAGGGTAGGTAGAGTAGGATAGGTAGGGTAGGTAGAGTAGGATAGGTAGGGTAGGTAGAGGTGGGTCGGTAGAGTAGATTAGGGTAGGTAGAGTATGCTAGGTAGAGTAGGGTAGTTAGAGTCAAATGACGGGAGCGACACCGCGGGTAAGAGCTAGTTTTAATAAGAGTCAGGCGACTTCACTACGACGCGCACGCTGCCCATGAATAAGCGTCCCATTGTGACTTGAAACTAGTAGAGCCTTTCTTAGTATGTAAGTCGTTATTTTGAATAAAAAATGCACTACTTAAAATTAGACTCTTGCAAAGTGCCCTTACATCATAAATAAAAACATAATTGACAAAAAGTGGTTAATCCATTGATGTTGATCTTCACTCCGGTATTTTCAATCAAAAACCAGCAAAAGTAATTTAAAGAATCACTCACCTATGATCAGCATTTTCAATTCTAGCATCTAAATTGGCGACTCTGTAGTAGGTTTGGTTCTTGAAGTAGAGCTCATAAGCGTGGTTCACCAGACGGGTCCTGAAGGCCAGAGCCAGTCTGCTCTCAAGGTATCTGATCATGGAATTGATGAAGGTCGCCGGAACTGCTATCCCGAACCACTGGAGTAACAGCATCGCGAAGCGACGCATGTCCTTTTGGACTATGTGTTTTACTGAAATCGGAAATATCAATTTTGAGCTAATTTTTTTTGAACTTGCTACACTTTCGGTTTGACCCGCTGCTTATCTCTTAAAGATCATAGCGTGATCTTTTATAGCCTACAACCTTCCTCAATAAATGGAGTAACAAACACAAAAAGAATTCAATCCAGTAGTTCCGGAGATTAGAGTGTTGAAACAAACAAACTCTTCAGCTTTTTAATATTATAAGTTTAGATTATTTGCAGACCGGACAAAGTAGGTAGTATAGACTTTTTATTTTCCGAAGTAGCGTGGAGCCTGAAACCGTATCTATTCTTTAGCAATACTATCGCCACATAAGCACTCGTAAACAACCAAAAAACCTAAAAAATTACTGACATTTTTAGTTTAACTCAATACTCAATACGTTTATAAGCGATCTACAATGTTTTTCGTAGTTGGTAAAATACAAGATACAATGACTGTGGACCCTGTTGGGCACAGCATATTAACTGAAATTCATAAATTCTTTTTTTTATTTTAATATCATCGTGACCTGAGCATCTACTAAAAACCAGCTTACCACACAATAGTTTTATCGATATCTTAAAGTGCGAAAAGTCACTCACCAATGGATCCCTCCAAGGAGGCCACGTAGATAGACAGGAACGTCCTTGTAAAGAGGCAGAGGGTATGTGCGGACAGTATGGCGACCTCATGACTCCGGATTCCGGGCACCATGATGCGAGCGAGAGAGATCAGCTGACGAAGGAACTCCAGGTTCAGACCTGGGATGTGTTCCTCTACCGATTGGGTCTCATCTGCGTCTTCCTGGAATAATGGGATGTTTGACGTTAATGTAGGTAGATGGAGAAATGGGTACTGGAAATGCTATTAGGTATATTCATCAAATCAAAGGTCCTTATATCTTACGTTGTTGAGACACCTGCGGCCCGGACTGAGCGTTTTGCCTCGTCATTTATACCGCGTACATGCAGTCTTTCCGTCCAAATATTATTTAGGTGTCTTCAAGGCTAGAGTGAATAGGCCCTTAATAAACTAGTGCGCCTTACCATCAACGACTGCATCACTGCTTACAATCAGGTGGGATCGCAGTCAAGCCCTAGTTTATAGCAAGTAAAAAAAAGTTTCAAGCGAAAAACCGGGTTTAAGGACTAACTTTGTTTCCTAGTGGAGCACGCTTCACTTAAAGGTCGTATCAGTTCAGGAGGACCTTAGGCGATAGATCATTTGATAGATCGTAATTTCGGGAAATTTTATTCTGCGACACTTTGCACAGGAGCCAGTTGCTCAGCCGTGCAGTCTTTTTTTTGAGGGGAAAACCATCAACTGACGTCTTCCGCCCATAGAGACTCTTACTGACTAAAAACGCACCCGTTCTTTCTCCTGCTCTGGTCCGAGGCCGCGGTGCCTCATTGCGCTTACCCCGCAACCCCGGCAACCGTGTAGTCTGAGCTGATGAATGATGATGATGTACTTACAATATTTTGCTTATTGTCTGTGTCTGCATCTCCCCTGCAGAGTGCGCACTGCTCAGCCCCGCACCGACCACCACAAGTTTCTCCATTCGCCGTCCCACTATCCACGTTGTGCAGCTTGCCATTTTTAGCAACCTAGGATAACATTTGATATTAGATCACTATACGTATTTTTATAATCACTATAGGGTACCATATTATGAAAATTATCTGACTATTGTTTAATTTATCAAATTCCAAGCTAACGGCCGCCGCAAGCGTTCACGCACCTATTGTTCGGCTATTGTCTCAAATAACAACGATTGAAAGGCTCAAAATATTTTTTTTTGAGACATGGATTGGGCAATATCGTCTCCACTATTTAATGGGTGTTATTAAACATATAAACATTCCCCTTCAACAACTCTGTCTATTAAAAAAACCGCAACAAAATCCCTTGGGTAGTTTTAAAGATTTAAGCATGCGTAGGGACATAGGGACACAAATATCACCTCAGCATTAATGTTTCATTACTTTTTGCTTATTATACTACATGTTCTTTCAATCTCTTCTTGTGAGAACTGTACATTAAACATTTAAAATTCTCGCATCGATGCGCGTGACTCTGGGCAGATAAGAACTGATTCTTGATCACTACAAAATCATTCCTTGTTTAGAGATAGGCGACTACAAAAAAAAAAGTTAAATATTTACCTTATAATTATTATTGTTGTTGCAAGGAGGCGCGTGCTTCTTGTCTCTGGTACCATAGACAGCGCAGGCAGCTAGAGCCACCCCCACCCCCACTCCTAAAGCTATCGAGGGCTGTACCCTCGATGCCTGTTCTCTGATCTTTGTCAAAATCGCAGGCATTTTGTGTTTTTCTTTATAATAGTATAATTATGAACATTTATGCTTATATTATCGAGATCTTTGACTTAATAATAACTGTTAGGGGATGGGTCAAGTCATTATACTCAGTTTTCGTCGTCCATTGTTCTGTAACAAAGAAAATTATGATTTAATTATTTATTTGAGGGTAGCATAAACAAGTTAAATATAGTATAGTCTAACCAAATATTGGTAGAGCTCAAATACTACAACAGAAAAAACATAGTTGCACAACATTTAGTTGCTGCTTTTTTAAGTTATTAACGTTGCTTGCATATACAATAAAAAAACTTAATATTTCACTTATAATTATCTGAATATTTTTGTGCTGGCCCCGGGCTTCCCACGCATAAGGTATATAAGGCATGGTGATTAATGCTCTAGCCTTCTCCGTGTAAGAAGAGGTCTTTGCTCAGCAGTGAGCACTTATAGGCTGATGATGATGATGATGATGATGACGATGATGAAAATGAAAATATTTGTAACCCTAAATAAGCACTTAAACAGGTACAGCGGGGTCTACATTGAGTGAATGTCTTTCCTTATAGCTGTACCGTGATTCATTGACGGTTACAATCAAAAACTGTTAACTAATAGATGTTATACAAGAAGAAATAACTTCTTTTAAAAGCATAGTTAAAGGTGACATTCTTAATAATGTGTCTAAAAATAAAATGCTTTTTTTACAATCAGCATTTTGTTTAGTATAATAATTTTGTCATAATATTAAATAATAAAAGGTAAAAAATATGTCAATCAGACAAACAAGAACCAAATATTTTAGTTAAATAATAAAAAAACTTCCAGCTTGTTAGGTGTCAGAAGCCAAAAAAATCAAGTATTAATTTCAATATATCTTAAAACAGACACTTTAAACACGTCAAAATTTTGTCATTAAATGCAGGTGCTCGTTCTAGAATGTACGTAAAAGAACAAACTAGAAAATACACAACGACATATTGTTTAAAACTAAGCTAAAAATTTAAAGAAAAATACACTTAGCTACTATTGATGGAAAACCCTAAACCGCATATATTCATTTATAAACACCGAAATGTTTATTCCACATATTTTTTGTTTCAATAATCAACTAATATAAGTTGGCAAGACCACGTTAATTTAGCAATTATCTCATAAAATACAGCATTTTATTATCCAATTAAGCAAGTCGTTTTAATTGTATACACAAAGAGAAACATGATTTCTATTTTTTATTCTGTAAAATCAAAATCAAAGTTATAAACTTTGGAATACTTTTAGACGTGTTTCCAGTAACCTATAATATATTCTAAATGCATTTTGTGAGTGTTGATTTATCGTTTACTTTTAACAAAAAAAAAAAAAATAAAAAAAATATTGACCTTTTCAAAGTTATATAGAACTGTACTGTAGAACAACTTCTTTAACCACTGTCTCACAATAAAGGTCTTTGACTTTGACTTTGTATTCCAACAAAAGAAAACCTCATTTGTTTTAGATTTTTTTACATAAAAATAATAAAAACATAACAAACTCAACGCTACGTTTTTCAATCAAAAACCTTATCTAATATAATAAATAAAAACCAATGAATCAATATAACTAGTTTGAATTCGATATTAATCAATGTAAGTACATGTCTATCTAAATAAATGCCACAAAAATAATCCATGACAAAAAAGAACAAGACAAATTACTATTTTATTTATCAACATTAATTTATTAAAACCATGTAAGTTAAGTAAGTTAGGCACTAACAAATCCTCTACATTGCATTTTTAATTCTTAAAAAACAAATACCAATTAAGAGTATTTATACTTATTATACTTATAATCAAGCTCTTTCAATTACCTTTTTTTATCTTGTTTATAATCAAATCAAAATCATTTATTCCTACTAAACCATAAATCCCAGGTACTTTTGAAACGTCAAAATAGAATAGTAGTCTGTCAGTCTGTTCGTCAGTGAAGCTAGGTGCTTGTTCCTAATGTAGTTCCGATTGTATTACACCTTAATCAACAAACAAAAAAACGAATTAATATTTTATTATTCTTAGAGCTCATTTTCCAATAGTCGGATAAATGTTAACTGAGGAATAAATTGTTGCTGTCATTTTCTTATACAAACATTCTGATGAGACAGCATCATAATTATTGCTCATGTAACTTTTATCTAACCATTGAAAAATCAACCATTAGTCTTACTCAGAAACATCCTAACATCGTACAATCTTAGATTTAGATGAGCAAGTCCTAGAACAGGGCACAATAGTGCAATAAACTGCAACAAGAAAGTGAATGGCCGTTTTATGAATAGGTGAGTGCAATGCGCATTCTATCTGCACAATTGCCACGAAACTAGCGCAGTGTACCGCATCCGAAGGTTGCGCAAGTGTAAATTAGACATCTTATTTTCTCAAAAGTTTTTTTTTCTTTTTATTGTTTTTGAGGTTTTTATTTACATGGATACGCCAACCCTATCGTACCCTATTCGTTCCTACCACAGATGGGGCCCCATAGGGCTGATGTTCAGCCGGGGTTGCGGGGTAAGCGCAATGAGGCACCGCGACCTCGGCATAGAGCAGGAGAAGGAACAGGGGGGTTTTTAGTCAGTAAGAGTCTGACACTCCGTCCTACCCGGCCCTGGGCGGGAGAAGTCATTTGATGATTTTCCCCTCACAAAAAAAAACCCTATTCGTTCCTACTACACTAACCTATGTAACTATTTTAAGTGAGAGACAATCATGAATTAGATATCTTTGTTAAATCAATTAACTTTTATGCTATTTGTGATTTAGGACTTGTTAAAATTGTGTGAACTAACCCAACTTATCAAAAGTTGTAATCTTCTTGTTTGTATGAACGCGCTAATCTTCAAAACTACTAGCTGAAATTGGACAATACTTATTGTGATCGATAGACGATTTATATAGGAATGCTACAAACATTGCCGTACACTAGAATATGGTGCCGATTAGTGGTTGAAATACTTAATTAAATGTAATGCACAGCGCTCTCTGGTAAAGTTGGACCTTTCAATATGCGTTCTGCAACCCTGAAACTTGCAGCAGATGTGGAGATTTTGGCAAACTCTTTTGTGTGCATCGAGAAGCCGAGGTACCTTAAAAGTCTAGCATTGTATGTAAAGTGTTAATTTGATAGCTGTTGGTAATGATGAACATAAAAAATCAATAAACTTAATTATATTTAAGCTTTTTTTAGTTAGGGTCTGACACCCCCTCTCGTCTCACCCAGGGCAAGAGAAGTCATTCGATGAAATCGTCATATAAAACTTTAAAAATCTTTTCTTTCGTGTTTCTTAGTACCCCAAAACATCGTATAAAAACTGACAGCACTAATCTGGTTTAAAAGTCTCAAGTTTTTCGTTAAACACATGGCCATATTACATCACGAACAAGAACGAGAAACAAGGTGAACTCAAATTTTAAGATACAATTAATATTTATGTATATTATATACATATAACCTTACTTAATGTAACAACTTCCATGGAATTGCATAATTTGGAGTCAACAAACTTAACATTTAATATGTAGGTATTTAATTTAATAATCTTGTGATTATTTCAAAAACTTCTAAGGAAGGTGTCAATAATGCCCTTTTTTCATATCGCACCTGGTTGGAAGCTATTATGTTGTAGTACAATTAGAATAGGAAATTTGTTTCTGTACATTTCAAACTCATTCCCCTCATGTATCATCCCTCCTAAATTCTATCTATACTTTCTGTTTTAATCCTATTCCTTCCCTTAATTCACATAAAGATTATTGATACAACGCCAAAAACATTTTTAATCAAATAGACCTCAAACATACAATTGCCTTGCCTTCTCAAAAATATTAAAAAATGCAAACGAAGTTGAAATATTCAACTTAATTTAGTTGCCCTTTCTTTTTAACACGCTTCAATTTAATTTCAAAACGAAAACTTAAAACTGCGATATTTTTGCTTTATTTCTAACAGACTTGCGTAGGGTTGATTATCATTTAGTCTAGGACAGGACTAACTACTACCTAGGAGGGTATGTCCTAGATCCCGTCGGGGGGATGCGACGAATGCTTCAGCGATACCCGCCCCTCCGACACATGGGTAAGTGGGGGAACACCGGGGTAGGGTTTGATTTAGGGTTTTTTTAGGAATTTCCAACGCGTCTAAAAAAAACTAACTAAGAACCACCATCTTTCTTTTACTCCGGGCCGAGGTCACACACATAATTGATACCTCGGTTGTACCGTGTATACCTATGTATTAATGTATGTAATTATGTTTGATACAAAAGGGCATCAAATAGCTATTACTACAGAGCAATGCCACAAGCAAATGACATAAGAGGTCGGTGGATGATGGCATGGATGTTGGTTGCGTAACGATATCTCAGTAACCGATTACGTAGCATTTAGGTGATTGATCTGTCTTAACTGTACATTCTTGTGAGTTAAGATGGATGTACACTTGTCTGGGTTGATTTATAAGTGTTTGGTGAATATAAAGGTAAAAGACAGAGGCACAAATTCGAAGGGAAAATTCCGAGAAAGATTTGGTTGCGGATATCAAATTAAAAACTACTTTTGGTTACAATCCTGTGAAATAGGAAGTCATTCTAGTAGTACAAAACACAGACATAACAGCATAATTAGAAATATCATGGCTTCGATCATACATTCAGAATATTTGACCAAAGGGAACTTGGTGATATTACTAAAAAAAATCGAATAGCAGAAAAATACTATTAATTGGTCAGACCTGTCTCAAGTAGATTATCTCCTTTACAACACCGACTTGATCAGCAGGCAATCGTCGGTTTTTGTCTATGATAAAAACGGTTACAAATTACAACTATAAATCTACCCGCTTCTATATTTTAAATGTAGAATTTAATTTTTTTTTCAGTACTAACATAAGTAACTGCAATTTTGTCACAATCCGTTGTGTAAATGCAAAGACCACGATATAACCTTTAAATCGATTTAAATTCCTATTTTGTAAGTTTGATAAAAACAATATTGCGAAATAATGTGAGCAATAAATCTAAATCTGTAGCCGAGTGGAAAAATGAAGAACGGTTAAGATTTATTTTATTTTTATTGCGCTATTCACACGAGAGGTTT